TTATTTTAAGAAAGGACAAGTTGCGAATTTGGATTTTTAAATATTGAGTCAATTAATTTTTTCGATTCTCTCTGGACGATTAAAAAATCGAATAAAAATGTCGAGTTGAATTTTCAAAGTCTGACGCAAAAATTTCAACATATCCCAAAAAATAATATATCTTTATTAAAACCCCAATTTTTTAATTCCTGATTTCCAGAAAGTTGACAAATACCCGCGATATTTTTACAGCTTTACCGTCGCCTTGCGAGCAAACTCGAGACTTGAGAGTCCTTTTGTTCTTGCGAATGGAATAAATGGGCTTAATTTATATAAATAATCCCCTTGAAAGTAGCCAATGGTTATTCATTGATCGGTAATTTTTTCGGGAATCCGTGGAGGCAAATACACGAGATATCGAAAGGTGATGAAGCGACACAAACGACATTAAATATTGCCGGCGAGTTGGTGGTGTACGAATGAGAAGATTTAATAGGCGGGGCGGGATGCTGTTTTATCCCAAGCTGCTCATTAGCAGGGGATTAATACGATCCAGTCTGTACTGGGGCGCTGAGACAAATATACCAGGAGCCGTATGGTGGGTAGTTCTCCTCATTTCATTTCAATGGGAAACCATTACAAATATATACACGTCCCGGTGATAGGTACCACTCCAATCCGCTCCTTCGTTATTAAAGCATTGGATTTTCGTGATTCTTATCTCGAATGTCTTCTACCGAATTTTATCCGCATGAAAAAAAAATCCGCTGGGAGAGAGATTGCCTGATTTTTTTGGATAAATTAATGAAAACTCACGACTCTCTGTAGTCATTTGTTAGTTTATTTCATTAGTTTAAATGAAGAAGTTGAGAAAGAAATATTTTTTCTCGTCTTGTGGTAATTAAATAATCAATTTCGGGATTACCGATTTTTTTTTATTGATTTTTTGAGGATTTTTAATTGTTTTATATTTAATTGTTTATTTTTATTATTTTTTTAAGTGTTTATTTATAAATGCCCAAATGTGAGGAGTTAATCATTTTATTTTAATTGGTTTCAATTTTTTTTATACGGTTGAACCAGAAAATTTGTAAATCACGTTGAAGACATTTTTTGGGAGAAGAACAAAAAAATGGACCCGGGTAAAAAAAAAATTGTAATCGGAATATTTTTTTCAAATTTTCAAAAAATTTCTAGAAAACTTTCCAGAATTTTTTTTTCTTCAACAAAAAAAATCGAAAAACATTTTATTTTTGGGTTTTGAAAAATTTTTCAAAATTTTGAATAGGAAATTTTTTTTATAATTTAGATGGCGTATTTTTTGAGAATATTGAAAAATCAAAAAAGTAAGAAAACAATAGTATAATTAAAAGAAAAAATTAGAAAATTTTTCAAAATATTTCCCAAAAATACAATTGTTTGGTTTCCCGAAATTTTTTTTGTTTCAAAAAAAAAAAATCTGAAAAATTTCCAGAAATTTTTATAAAATTTGGAAAAAATATTCCGATTAAGGTAGAAAGAATGAAATTATTTGTAGACGCGAGGTATTTCCAAAGGCAATCGAGAGAACTTCCATTCTATATTTCGTATGGAATTGAGAGGCCGGGTCACGAGGTGGGGACACGAAGAGGTAATGGTGTGTAAATTATTCTGATAAATCGCTTTTTCCATGGCGTCAAATCTGACCGAAGACGAATCCAGATGATTTACACATACATTAATTTTTCGCCACCACGTACTCAGGAATTACGCGTAGTCATTACCCCCGATTACCTGATTATCATAATTTCTCACTTGACATTAGAGGCCAGGTGAGGGATGATTTCCCTGATGACTCCAGGCTTTATTAACGCGATGATAGACACCTGAATATGTCATGGGAAAATTGTAAAAATACAAATGGTAATGATGCACCGCCCCCCGAAGGCTAAATTTGCGGCCAACGGGTTATTAACTGTTTAATATTAAACTCGACTTTAATCGTGGTTAATTAATGACGCGAGATTAGTGTAATTATGATTAGGCGGAATTATGGCAATCATGGGGGAGGGGCTTATTTGGCAATCTTCGATGTCGGCCGCCATTATTCATTTTATTTTCCAACCGCAAGTTGATTTTCTGTATAATTTATTTCTCGAAATAATTTATCTTTCACTCGTCAAAGAATTTTCATACATTAGTTAATTATTCATCATTTCGAGCCATCGATGGTTAATTGCAATCCAAAAAATTTTAAATTAATAACGAGATGTCATTTATTACCTGTTTTAATGCGGTTAATTATGGCGATAAAAATTGATCATAATTTTATCGATCCCCCTAGCATGACCGATCAATCCTCTGATCAATATCCCATTAATAAAGTTATCGATTTGCATCATGGAGTCATTAACACATGATGAATGACCGAGACAAACCTCTCGTCTTATCTCTCTGCGTACAGGAAAAAAAAATTCCGCGGGAAAGTGACTCGACGATACGAGACTCATTGATGTGGAAAAATTGTACGGAAGCATCAACAAACGTGTGATAAGAGCTCCTGGGGTCTCACGAATATTCATGGATGAAAGATTAAGAGCCCAAATGAAAGCGGCCAGATAGAAAACTGACGAGGATAAATAGTTCCTTTTGTCTGCCTATCTCAAAACTGGAAATTACCGCTAAGAATTATTCATTATCGAGGTAATGATGCGGGGAAATTATTACTATTTTGATTGTTCTCGGGATTGATTACGCGTACCCTGGGGTGGAAATATTTTCTGGCGCTCCATCTTCCGGGGAGAGAGGAAAATATCGCGGATTTCTCAGGGCCGGTAAGAGTGGGTGGTGGTGTTATCGGTAGGTGGTGGATGGTAACAGAGCTAGATAAATCGCTTCGCATTTTCGGGGCAATCAATATAATGTTTTGGCGAGGAAGTGAGTTATCCTCTGACCACAAAGAGACCGACTAGGACGTTTGCGGTAAGCGCAATGAATTTCTTAATAAATTCCACTGAAACTGGTATTTGTTCATTACCTTTATATCATCCCTTGGGACCCGTGACTTTTTTTTTATTTCATGGGAATTAATCGCCGGAATAATTATTTCCCTTCTGTTTTTCATAATAAAATTTTGGATATTAAAATTCCAGAATTTTTTATCTTGTTTGATTGATAATCGAATTTAAGAAAGCGTTCGGGAAAAATTAAGTACTTCATCATTTTTTATTGATTTTCTTTAATTACTTAAAAATCAATATTATAAAGAATTGTGAAAAGTTAGGGAATAATTAGAATTTAATCCAGCCCTGGAATTTTTCCTCAATTTCAATTAAAACTTCGGAAGTTAAATTAATTATTCAATTTTTCCTCTAATTCACCGTCTACATCAATAAAAAAAATATACTTTCACTAACAATTTTTATCTTCACTCAACTTTTATCTGAATTCTCTCCAAAAAAAATTATTACGATGTATAACAAATTAATATTACTATATGCGTTAGTTTTTCTTTCTCCTTTTTCATTTCTACCAATACAATTGGTCGTAAGCTTCCGAATGGATTCGTAATTATTTCAAGAACGATTTCTTCAAAAAAGTATAAGAGAACAATTCCTTACATGGTCGCCTATATGTGGAAAAATGGATACCTGAAAAATGATAACAAAAAATTATTTAAAAAATTGTATTTCCATTGACGATGTCCCTCCGTGCAAACGAAGAAGTAAAATCGGTGGGATCAAATGAGAGCGAGATAACAGTATCCACACAATGGGAATGAGGTCTGAGGAGATGAGGGTGGGTGGAAGCGCGACGGGACCATCGGGTTGCCCGCAGCTCATCGCGGAGCGATCACATCTCATCGCGTCCCGCCATCGCCAGGAGTATTACCAGGACCTCTTTCTGTCGTGCACAACCCCATCGCGATTCAAACGGGTCTCTGCGCACAGGGATATCACCGTGCTCTATCAGCATATCCGACCGCTTAGCACCTACTTCCCAGGAGTGTGATACGCTCGTAACTCATTTGAATTACACATTTCCCTCGGATCCAGACCCGGAACCAGTGTACGTACAAGCCAAAACGACAGACCAACGAAAATCGTTTCTGCCATTCTGTCAGCACTGAGGATCCCCCGGTGAATTGTCATCTCACCGGTATTCTCCCTTCCACCGAAAATCCGTTCGACGCCAGTCACGTCATGGTCTCCTGAAATATTTCGAACTCTCGTGAATTATGCATTGGATATTACGAATCTGTGATCATGAGTGTGAGGAACATTCGCAAGATTATATTCCACGTGGAGAGGGTTAACTACGTCGGGGGACAGGTCGATACGAAACGTGCGAAAATCCTTTCCACGGAAAAATAATGTAATGGGTCAATGGTCCTCTCTGTTTTACCGACTGGGCACTTTGAGAGAAAAGATTAACGCATTGGATGTGTTAAAAGTGGTTTCCAGGAGCTTCACTTGGGGTATACGACTCCCTGGCGCCTCGCTTCGCTAATCGCAACCCATTAGGACTCCCTTCTTCTTACTGTGCCACTTGAAATTTCTCATTGGCCGCTGTATGGCTTCACCAGCCAGTTAAACGGCATCTCTCCTCGAATTTTCTACGTGTAATCTTACCCCGGATGCCTGCAAAGTTTGGAGAACGTCCGGAACTTTGATGAAACTTTTGAAGAGGAGAATGGTTAAGTTTGAGGCTTTTACGAGAATTCTTGGAGTTTCAGATGTATTCAATTTCTGACGAGAATTGATGCGTGAAGGGGGTGAGTAGTTTTATTTGTAATTATTCACAACGGTTTTTGATAAATCGTCGCTCTGGGAGACGAGGGAAACAATCGGGGCTCTCAGATTGAAATCGCTTGCACCTTCATCATCAACCGGGTCGAAAATAAATGATAAATCAAGGTGAGGATCGTCAGATGTTGGAGATTAATAATTAATCACTCGATTAGACGCTCAAGGATGTGATATTTCGCTAATTATTTTATTGTCTTCAATCAAATTCGCTTCGCGCGGAATTTTTTTTGCAATTCATCTTCTAAGGACTGCGTTGAGAGCCCTGAGAATCGGGAATCTGGGACCGCAAGCGCCGTTCTTGTCATCGGTTTCGATACTCCAAATCATTGCTCCACCGAGCCGCTGTTGTCTGATGAAATGGGCCTTCTCTGTGACTGACCTGTATCGGAGAGAATGGCGATATTCAAATGATGATTTGTTTCCAAAATGAATCTGGAAGGCATGACTCACCCGACACTATCATAACTGACCCACTGGTTCCCTCTAAACGCGTAGGGGGCTCGGGCCCCCCCATCGAAACGAAGATTCCACTGGCCCCTGCGAATCTGCTCGCAGAGTTCGTTGTACCCTAGGCTACCAGCCTCCCGCATGTAAGGCCCAGGCTGACCTGCTGAAGAGGCTGGAGCCCCTGGAGCATTGTTATTCGGATTTGCTAAAGTCCAAGTCCTTCCGTAAGTCGGGACTCCAACGACTAGCTTTTCCCTGGGACATCCGCGGTCCAGCCAGTATCTGACACTAGATTCCTGAAATTGATATAGCATAAACGAAATATAGAACGTCTCAATCTATTATTTCCAACATCACTAACCACTGAGAGATCTCCACGAAGTGCGGCATGATGTCCTGCTCTACGTTCCCAGGATCCGCGGAAGTCGTACGTCATGAGATTGATGAAGTCCAAATGCTGACTTATCGCTCGGATATCGTAGGCTTGTGATGCAGTCCACGCGCCAGCACCAACAGCTGCGGTAAGGAGAAATCCGCCTTCTCGGTTGAACCGTTCTTTCATTTCTCTCAGGAGGAGGACGAAGTTGTGGCGGTCAGAAGGTGCACCGCCGTTGAGGGTAGGGTATTCCCAGTCGAGATCGAAGCCGTCGAATCTGTAGCGTCTCAAGAGAGCAATGACGCTGTTGATGAACTGTCCTCGGGAGCCAGGAGAAGACACCATTCTGGAGTACTTGGGTCCTTGGCTGTCTGTTGCTCCTCCAATGGCAATGAGTAGTCTAATTCCTGGGTTTCTCCTTCGTAGTTGAGTGAATTCGCGGAGTCCATTGACTCCGTCAGCATTCGGTGCGACGATCTGATTTCCTTGGAGGGTGGCGAAGGACCAGATGACGTGCGTACAGAGAGACGTGTCTATATCAGATGTTACAAATCTACCGTTTCCCGGGCGCCAATTCGCCCAGCTGCCAAAGTAGCAAACGATTCTATCTGAAATTTCGAAAAGATTGATGTATGAAGTATTCAACAGAGCGATCAGGAATTCATTTGAAGACTTACTTTGACCGGCAGCTGTTAGAACGCTAGCTAAAAAACTAACCACAAATAAATTCAGGCCGCGCATCTAAAATTAAGAGGACGACGATTAAATCACTTCGGCTTATATACTCGATCAAAAACAAAACAGAATAATTCTCCAATATTTTTTATATCTACCGTAATTTGGATTGCGATGATCGGCGTCTGTTGCAACTTCTTGTGATAACGGGGATTGACTGTTCAGTTACAGATCAATCTGGTTTTATATCACCGGCAAGTATTATTGTTAATTAGTAAAAATATCCACTTGAACACGTGTTGGCGATAATGAATGACGTTTTGTGCGAGACATGACGAAAGACAATTCATTCATGCTCGAATGCTTCTTTTATCTATCCCATTCAGGTTTCGGTCAACTGTATCAACAAAGACAAAACGATTAATGTAAATCACACTGAGATCAGCATTTAACACTCAATTACGCATATTTTATTCCAAGCTAATGAAATCGAGAAACAAAGGAAAAGAATAATAATGAGTCTGATTAGATCGTTAAGAGTGCGACATTTCGCGGATTACTTTATTTTCTTGAATACAAATAATATTTTAAGTCGACAACAATCAAATGTTCTCATGGACGATCACAATAATCAGCAGAAGCCTTGTAGCAGAGTCCTGGGGCGCATTGCCTTTGATAACGAGTGAAACCTCCAGCGCCATTATCCACGCAGGTGATGTACCCACAGGACGAAGGATCAGCGATATTTCCCGCTTTGGTGCATTGTCCGGCAGTTGGACTTGGACTGTCCTTCGGTGCTTCTGCAGTCTTAGGTGTTGGTGTTGGAGCTGGACTTTGCTGCACCGGCTGTCCACCGCGAAGGACTGCGTTGAGAGCCTTGAGGATTGGAAATTTCTCGCCACAGGCGCCACTCTTGTCATCAGTCTCGATACTCCAGATCATGGCACCACCGAGTCGCTGCTCTTTGATGTAATTAGCCTTTTCCGTGACTGATCTGTATTGGAGAGAATGAACAGTGATCTTTGGGAGTCGCTTATTCTCAAATTGAAAACCTGGAAGGCATGACTCACTTGACATTGTCGTAGCTGAGCCACTGGTTACCCTTAATCGCATACGGAGCTCGTGCCTTCTCATCAAAACGAAGTGTCCATTGGCCTTCGCGAATCTGCTCGCAGAGCTCGTTGTAGCCCAAGCTTCCAGCCTCCCGAACATAAGGTCCAGCTTGACCAGCTGAAGGAGCTGGAGCACCTGGAGCATTGTTGTTGGCATCAGCAAGAGTCCAGGTCTTTCCGTATGTCGGGACACCGACGACTAGCTTCTCCTTGGGACAGCCTTGGTCCAACCAGTATTTAACGCATGATTCCTAGAGTTGATGCAGCACAAGAAGATATAAACATCTAGACTTTTGCTGATTGTTTACTCCATCACTTACCACCGAGAGATCTCCACGAAGTCCAGCATGATGACCAGTTCTAGGCTCCCAGGACCCGGCGAAATCGTACGTCATAATATTAACAAAGTCAAGATGCTGACTTATCGCTCGGATATCATATGCTTGTGATGCCGTCCAAGTACCCGCAGCCACCGCGGCTGTCAGCAGAAGACCGCCTTCCTGGGTGAACCGTTCCTTCAATTCCTTCAGGAGCAGAACGAAGTTGTTCCGGTCAGCTGGAACGCCACCATTGCGTGTCGGGTACTCCCAGTCAACATCAAAGCCGTCGAATTTGTACTGTTTCAGAAGAGCAACTGTCGAATCAATGAATTGTTTTCGAGAGCTTGCGGTGGACACCATGTTGGAGTATTTGGGCCCGTGGCTGTCCACTGCTCCTCCAATGGCAACAAGAAACTTCGCTGAAGGGTTCTTCTCCCGCAATTGGATAAACTCGCGGAGTCCGTTGACTCCTTCACCATTCGATGAGACGACCTGATTTCCTTGAAGAGTAACGAACGTCCAGATGAAGTGCGTGCAGAGAGACGTGTCGATATCAGCGGTCACGAATTTCCCGTTTCCGGGGCGCCAGTTTGCCCAACTACCGAAGTAGCAAACGATCCGATCTAAATTTTAAACAAATTTATAAATATTGCGTGAGGGACAGGTGAGGCCAGTGACATGAAGACACTCACTTTCAGCTGCAGCTGTCAAAGCACTAGCTAAAAAACTCAAAACGAGTAAATTCAGGGCGCGCATCTGAAATTTCAAATTGAAGTTAAATTAGATTTAATTAATCTTGCGGAGATGAATCACGGAGAAAAATTGAAAAATAGTCAAAAAATTTTTCTACTGTAATTCGAATTCTGAACACAGGAGTCACTGGTAGTATCTGGTGATGCCGATTACTCACTACTTAAGGTTCAGTTCGTCGCTATTCTACTTTTATAGCACCAGCGAGTATCCGCTAATTACTAAAGTATTCACTAAACAACTCGTTACCGATTATAAACGAGTCTGACCGATAATAAAATGCGGGAGACACGATGACAGACAATTGATAGATGTCCACATGCGTAATCTATCCACTTCTTTCAGATTATTGTCAACTGTGTCAGGGATTTTCCGTCAACCCAAATTGATGAATCTTGACGTGGCATTTTGACGGGTAGAATCATTAGCACAACCACCTCAAAATGAGTGAATTATATTTGTCACGACAACGCGATGAACTTACGGAAAGGGGAAGATTTGGGTGATAACACTGATACCTTCATCAAGCGACAACACTTCATCTCCGAGGAGCGTCAAAAGGCATCGTAGATGATAATTACGTAATGAATCTCGGAGTTTTGCTGGGGTTGATGATAAAAATGATATTGCCATTCCTGAACAAAAGAGCAGACAATAAATTTTGGTATGGCATACATCCGCAGTACCACACGATACCCTAGCCACCCGCTGATCCTCATAACGTAATGATGTTATGACGTGACATGAGGTTACGGATAACACCGTAGCGTGAATCCTCGATGGAGAATGGAGTGGATGCCAAGGATGAAGGTGTGAGGGAGAAAAGGCAAAGTGGAAGCAAGAGTCCACGGCACATGGGAATGTATCAAGTCCGAGTTAGAGTACCTCTGGCGCGTTTGGGCCTCGTCGCTTATTATTTGTAACCCCGGTGTTCCAACAGCATCCATTTAATCTTTTCCCAGTGAGGAGCGTTTCTTTGATCAGCGCGCGACCGCATCTGCCACGCAATATCTCAGGCCACAGCCGCAACCGGCGTACCGGGGCGCGAGCTCCTCGTCTTCCTCGCGCTTGGGCATTTGTTCCTGTCAACCGGCCACCTCTCGTGCACCACCGATGCGTGCCCCAGCGTTAACCAGGAGAACTCTTCTTGCTGCATCGGATGCCCAGGCATTTTAGTGGTTTTTATCTTCTAGTTTTCTATGGTGCAAGTCACGAGAGGAATCTCCGCTTTGCGAAAAGATGTTTATTACCTGTGGTGGGAGGGAAAATGTCGGCATCATGGAGGTTCCCGTGGAAAATCGATACTTCATTTGTGTTTGGAATTTTAATCACCATTCGAATCTTCTGAAATTGAAAAATTTTAAAGCTGGTTAGATCTCACCATTCTACCCGATCAGGAATCGAACCTGGAACCTATCCATTGTGAGGTAACGACCTTCACCACTACGCCAGGCCACTGGGCAGTACTGCGTCATGTCTGGAGTAATTCGTAAATTTACTGATTTTGTTGTTGATTTATTGCGGAATGTTTACACACTTGGGTGCTATTTTTACTGGGGCAATGGATTCCTTTCGGTTTAATTAATCTCGCGGCGATAATAAATACCTCACGAATTCAAATATTCGGGACACATGGAGGGATAGCTCCTGTTGGTGGCACCCAGCGTGAATTTCATGATATCACTCCAGTGATGGAGAGAAACACCAGGAGAGAGTGCCACGCACCAACGGTAATATGTAACACGCAGTTTGGAGTAATGCCGCGTCAAATCCAGCGCCACCGAAAATATGAGACCGGCTGCTGGGCGACCCGCTAATGCCCCATCATTTATTTCCTTTACATATTATTCCCGAATTATTACTTCACCCGATTATTATCAATTAACTGCCAATTGAATATGAGAAAAAATCGATTCGATTACTCCCACGTTTTTTAATGGGAGAGGGGAATAAAGATTTGTGGAGAGCAAGATTGATTTTCGCGTTCAACTGGACTGTAAATATTTCAGCGCCGATAACAAACAATAACCGTCGACTGATAACGGATTTTTAAGGGGTCAGATAACCCAGTGGCTGTTTGTCTCGGGTGAGAGAAAAGGAATTCGATTGACGAGGGTCTCGACGAACCCTGACTTTCTAAAATAGAAATCACGGGAATTCGGCGCAACTGTAGAATACCAAACACCCCATTTGCCGTCATTCGGTAGAGTGCAGCATTTTCTAAAGAGAAAATATTGGGAGAAGTTTCTTTTGTGTTGATAGGTCTATAATTTCGTAGTGGGGGGTCATTTGAAGGAAAATTTCTTTCGTCGCTGCACATAATATATTTTCTTGTAATTAATTCGCCATTTTCTTTATAAAAAATTCTCAAAATTCCAAGAAAATTCGAGAAATTGTAATAATTAATTTGTCATTTAAAAAAATCGAATAAACAGCGGAAATTCCCTAATCAAAACAAAAAGTAGATATTTTTCAAAATTTCTAATTATTAAATTTTCTCTTCAATTTTCTCTGTGACTAAAAATGCATTAAAAAATATTTTGAATTTCCCGAATTCACCGTAAAAAAATCTGGAATATCCCGATATATATTTGATCTAATTTTCCATGAATTTCTGGGCAGAAGTAGAAGCATTGATTCCCCGACTCCACCATGAAAGCTCGGAACTCGTAGAATAGTGACGGAAATGAGATAGAGAAGAACAAAGAGAGAGAGGATGGAAAGGAGGTAGAGAAGGCTTACATAGCTACTCGGTCTCGGGTTGGAAGCGAGGAGCCGCCCTGTGTGTTTGTGCTCTCGCCAGGGAGCACAGAGAGAAATGGCAAGGTATTTATCAGTGCCTCCCCCTCTCACCCTCCCAATTCTCCTATCCCCCTTGTTCCACATCCAAATCCATTTTCAACCCCTCCCCTCCCACATCCCCATCACCTCCTGCATGTGTGCGACGCCCTTTTGTATTGCACACGTATGAGTACTCCATCTTCTCTGTACATGACTTTGACAGTCGAATTTACTTGTTTTTACCAAAATCCCTTCGCTTTAATTTCACTCAAAATTTATTTACCAATTTAATCATCAGCGAGATTCATTGCGCGATACGATGGTTAAATTTCTCACCGCAAATGCGAATATGGGAATTGCATATCGAGACGTTTCGAAAAATTTATTTATTTGTTGTGAATTTTGGGGGTGAGTTAAGAGATTCTGGTTTATTTTACTCATCTTTTTGAGGGAAGAGTAATGAGTTCACTGATTGTCGGGTTAATTGAAATGCTCATTTACCCGCCGCCGGATCATGCTACGGGGAAATTAGCTTTGGCTTAAGGGTGGAGGGGTGAAATTTCAGGTGGCAAGGGCAACATCTCTGAGAAGGGGTTGCAGAGGTGATTATAATCTCATCACCGAATCTGTGTTCTGATCCAGGGGAATTTAAATATAACTAATACAAATTTAATTCATCAAAATGAATTATTTTTTCTGTACAAATTAATAATAATAATTTTAGTTTAAGTATGCAGTATATAAATAAGCGTGAATTTTTCAGAGATTTTTCTGCACATGCAGCACTCACGACATCCCGCGTTACAAGAAAAGTCAATTCACCTGCCATCGCTTGGAAAAATAAAAACAATATGAAAAAAGAAAAGCTCTCAAAGGAAAAAACGTCAGCGAGAATCGGGAACTGCCGCGCCATTTGAGGCTCATTGTGAACTCCATTTGCGACTCTTAGATTGCTGGTGAAATATCACCCCCAGGATGATGGAAAAATCGCTTGCGCAAGAGAAGGACTGGGATAAAATAAAGGTACCGGCATTTCTCACTCTGTGTCTTGGTGAGTGCACAACTTCCCCTGTCCTTACTTTTTATCAACTTTTCCCTTTCGTCCTTCTACCCCTTTTACAAAGTGACACTGGAGGGAATTTCCCTCATGGCAAAAACCGAAAAACCGATGGAGTCTCTACCGCGCGAGTAAACGAACACAACTGGAGAAGCTGGAGTGAAAGAAACTTGGAGACATTGATGGAGATCCCAGTGTTTTCCCCTTGCGCTCCGACAAATGCCACTCGATTGTTCTCCAACGTTCCTCACTACCTTGGCGTTCTTGAAGGACATCTCTTTCAGGAGAGAATCGCAAGATATTTTCGGCTTCAGTAAGGAAGAAAATTTTCGAGATAAAATTATGGACCTGTCCGAGTAATCCGAAACAAAAAAAAATTGTAGAAGAAATATCATCAGCACCTGAATCTCACAAGAGCAATGTCTTCAAACCTGATAACAATTAGTATTAATTAATTACATGCATGAGATATTCATTAATTGTTTCAGTTATTCTGATGACGAAACACGTGAATTGAAATCAGTGAAATGATCAGTTGGTCTTCCTTCAAAAATTGATAACTCACGATCGACCCGTCAAAAGCCATCGACAAGTGTTGAAACGCGTCATTTTTCTGGTGAGTCTAACCCGACCTTAATGATCTACAATATATCCCACGGAAAGCCAGAATAAATCAAAGTACCTCACGCCGATAAGATAGTCTAATGCACTTTCCGTTGGTGCAGACGAATCTCTTCTTGATAGATTCTGAGTTATCAGACTCAAAGGCAGACACCGGAAAATCATTCGGTATTTTTTCCACCGGTTAACGAGTCAATAGCGCCCGAGTGACTGCAGGCAAGTGCTTCTGACGAAACTCGAGAATTAATCGACATGCATTATACATCGTACTCTTATATATGTTTGCTGTCGAGTCTTTTTTGCTCGCACGACTGATCACTCGGCGAGCAAAGTATTCCATGAGGAAGGAGTAAGAAAGGAGGAAGTTGGGGAAACAGGAGAAAAGAAGCCGCGGATGGACGATCCCCGTGGGTCGTCCGGGTGTCATTAGGACTTGCTCAGGGAAGTACAGAAGGAAAGTAAAAACTGCTAATGCCCACCGCTCTCAGGATTTTTGTCTGAAGAACAAAAAAAAAAGGACCGGGTCAGCATCTGATGGCTGATGGGAAAATTACGTGAGCAGATTC